TCCCAAGTTCTGAGTGAGGGTATTTCATCACTGTGGCCACGTGCAGCACTCGGTCCAAAGTCCTCCATGGTTTCTGACCGTGTCCCTGCATCCCCCAGGGTGGGGGATCTGCAGTTAGTCAGTCAGTCCGGAAACTCGGCGCCCGTGTCAGCCTTCGGTCCCTCCCTCGCCCTCACACCTTCTCAGCAACCAGTATTGTTACTTTTCACTGGCAGATCTTCGAACTCATAACAACTTAGAATCATTACTTGGGGGCAGGGAGGAGTAGTGGGTAGTACTCCCCACCCCACTCCCTGCTGTCCTGCGTGTCCTGCAAAGCAGCAGAGGCCACACGGCCTGTGAGTTTCCCCAGCTCTGACGTGTGCGATCCTCTGAGTTCAGAGAGAAAGGCAGGAGGACCAGAAAGCACAGCGGGGACAGAGAACCGTGCAGAGCAAGCCCAGGAGAGGAAGGAGGCAGGATGATCACCACAGACAGAGCAAAGGCCGGGACAGGCTCCAAACCCCGGGTGAGACAGGCCACAGCCTGTGGGGGGCCTGGGTGCCTTCGGTGCCAGGTCTCCCCCAGCGATGCCCGGGGCCCAGTGTGCAGGAGGAAGCGCAGGGGAGCGCCGGCCGCGCCAGACGAGCGCGCTGCCACCCGCACGCAAACCCTCGAGCTCTATACTTGCTGAGATTGTCTTTCCCTCTCAGCTTCCTGGCACACAGCCTCCCTGCTGCGTAGCTGCGCTCTAGTTGAAAGGAAAGAGATTTGTCTACTCCTATACCAGGATAAGGAGGAGAGCCCCACGCTCTCCAAACTTTCCTGTGTCCTCCTCCAGGCAAAAAAAAATTCTTAAATAAGCGAGTCCAATATATGTATTTGACTTACAAATCACGTACCTCTTCTATTGAATGGATACAGTGTGTTCATTCTAAATCATATGTAAGATGGGAAACGTGAAGGAAGGGCAATGACACATATAACTACTAGTATTGAAGTGGAAGACTGGAAAATTCCACTAAAGTGGAATTCTTAGAAATTCCACTACCGGGCTTTTTTTGCCTTGCGATCTTTACCTGGGCCCCCTCCTCCTCTCCTGTCCTGCGACCTTTCCCCTCATAAATCACCTGTAGCAAGTAGTGTACCAGGTTGTAAAGTGGCTCAGGACCCTGCCTAACTAAAGTTAACCCTGTTGTAGCCGTGCCCCTCCTCCTTAAGCAGAGTGTATAAAAGACTGCAATGCTCTTTGTCTGGTGCTCAGAATTTGGGGAGAGCAAATTCCCCTCTGGGCCAGTCGCCGGCCGGCACATAAAACCTGTTTTCGCCAAATCTCTGAGTGTGTCTCTAGGTCAGTGTGTCTTCTCGGTCAGCCCTGCCCTAACAGTATTTTCTTCCTGCGCCCCAGCGAGGTGTCGTGGCCCACCCAGCCCCCCCGGGAGCCAGCCCGCTCAGCATCCCCGGCCGAGCCCAGACCCGCTGGAGGTTCTCTCACGTGCTCTTCCTTCCTCATGCTGTGGGTTGTTTTAAATGGGGTGATTCTTTGACAAACACACAAAAGCCAAAACAGAGAGAGAGAAAGAAACATGAGAGCGAGGGACAGAGACAGAGAGACGGAGAGGGACGGGAAATCTGACAGAGGCAGAGACAAGGGGCTGAGAAACAAGAGAGAGAGGGAGGACTGGTCCTGGCCAGTGGAGCCGGAAGCCAGCCCCGGACAGGGGCCTGAGAGGAGAAAGCTCCTGGGGGCACTGGGGCCAGTGGGGCAGGGCAGGGGCTCCCCGGAGTCACACCCCAGGAACTGTGCTTCCTGTAGTCGCAGTACTCCACATCCCGGGGCCGCGGATAGAAGATGTAGGCGCAGCCACACTGCTCGATCATGCTCTCCTGGAAGCAGGAGTGGATGCACACCTGGGGGAGGGGCGGGGAGGAGAGTCAGGCCTGACACAGCCCACCAGGGGCGGAAGGACGAACAGTTCCCCGTGACGAGCCTCCATCCTCTTTGCACACCCCCCCACTTCCCTCTCACGCACACAGACACACACGCCCTGCCGGTGCAGGCCTGGGAGACGGGGCCACAGACACAGCCGGCCCTCACCTGCTGCGTGTACTTGGAACGGTAAAGGTTCTTGACAGGGACATCGCTGCCGTTCTTGGTGCAGTCACCATAATTGCCCCCAAGTCTGTCCAAGGCTTCCTGTGAACCCACACACACCAAGAGGTCAGAGGTCAGAACAAGTAGCCCAGGCCTCTGCCTGGACTCTGTCTTCCCTCAGTCCCAGGTGTATCTCACACCTTGCCAGCCCCACCATCCGCCTCACCACCTGAATACACGCCGCGGCAGCCCGCCATGCCCACCCAGCGCTCATGTCAAGGACACGGGCCCGAGAGCAACCCTGGGGTCCTAAGCATGCCTGAGCCCCTTCTCAGCAATTCCTACCCCAGACCCCTCCTCAGGGCCCAACTCCCAGTGCTGGCCCCACCCCGACTCCTGCTCCTGCAGACCTGCACGGGCTCAAGGCCACCCCCCTGGTCTCCCTCCCAGGCTCCCGCACCCCCTCCAATCTGGGCTCTCCCCAACACCTCCCAGGCAGCAGCCTTGCCTTCCTCATGCTGATGGAGGTCTCCACGCCAGGCCGCACGTTAAAGCCACCATCATCCATAAAGGCGGGCTCATCCTGCCCGTGCACCATCACCCTGGCCCCCGTCACCGTGGACAGCAGGGGAATGAAGTCGTTCTGCTCTGTGCGCAGCATCAGGGACAGACCTGGGGGTGCAGAGGGGGCAGAGTTGGAGGGGTCTCGGATAAGAGTGGGGATGGAACCCACCCTCCCTCCCACCTGTGCCTAGTCTAACGCTCCACAGGCAGCGAGGCCAAGAAGACCTGCACAGAGAGTTGGCAACCCCGGGCTGAATTCTGGGGGCAGGAGAAAGGCCTGGGACAGGCCTCCTCTCACGTCTGCAATGCACTGTGTGGCCCCATGGGGAGAAGGAGCAGAGAGGACTTCTCCCAGGATGGAGAGAGGCGCACAGCACCTCTGGGGCTGAGCTAAAGGTGAGGAAATGTGGGTGGGCCGGGGCAGAGGCAGCCACGGCAGGGACAGGGAGAGGCTCACCATTGTTGATCCCAGGCATGGAGGACATCCAGAGGTTGGAGTTGTTCTTGTCGTTGAAAGTGTAGCAGTTCCCATACACCGGGTGGTGGAAATGAGAGTAATTCCTTAGCAGGAGAGAGTGGAGAGGGTCAGAGAGGAAAGTGGAGGAGGTCGGGGGAGCAGGGAGAGGAGGCAGAGGTGTGTCTCCACTCCCCTAAACAGGATGTGCGCCTTTCAGAGCTGCCTGCTTCCTGATCACCTGCTGTGTGTGGCACATGCTGGGAGCTTTACCCATGTTCCCTCAGTCACTCCAAACAACAGCCTGGGAGAGCCTCATCGCCACACCACGCAAGAGGAAGCTACGGTGCAGAGAGGTCAAGCAGCCGACCCAAGGTCACACAGTGACGATGGACCTGGTCAGCTACCTTCTAGCCCAGGCTCCCCCCACCAGGCCACCGACCTCACCGACCTCACTGACCTTGACTTACGTGCCGCCTGTGACCTCTCCAGCAGTGTCCCTAACTTCTCACATTCTAAATCTGCTTCCCCATTTGGACTATGAGCTCCTTGAGGACAGGAGCCACGTGTCATTCATCTCTGTGTCACCTCTGGGTTAGCTGCAAAGCTCCTGGCACATGGGAGACACAGGAGATAGTTAATAAATAGCTGCTGAGTGAGCGAGTGAATGACACAGAGGCGGAAGGGGACAGGACTAGGGAGCCGGTGAGCCCGCAGTGAACATGGAGCGAGGGCAGGAAGATGGGATCCCAGGGTAAGAAAGAGGCCACGTGTTTTCCAGAGGCCTCTCAGTTCAGCATGTCTCAGACGGATAAGTTCAAAGCCAATCTGTGACAGGTTTGGGGCAAGAAAGATCACGCTCACAGAGTCAATACTGCTGCAGGAGGAATGTAACTTGACAGCCAATCACAGGTTCCCAAGCAGCCAGGCTGTGTGGGGTTGCGGCAGGAGCCCTCACCGCAGAGAGAGGACCGCTGCCCTGCCCTGGAAGAGCTGGCGGCGGGAGCAGGGAGAAGAGGGAGGGGGGCTTTGGCCTGTGAGAGGCAGAGGAGGAATGAAGAGAAGAGGGAGAAGAAGGCTGGCCAGAGGTAAGGAGTGGGGCGTACGGCCTTGAGCAAGTCATTTTTTTGTGAGCCCGTTCTCCTCATCTGTAAAATGAGGACACTGGGACTAGGCGGTCTGCCATATCCTATTGGCCCTGAAGAAGAAAGGCACGGAGGAGTGAAATAGCAGTGCACATTCCAGGATACACTCGGAAGCCAGCACTTCCAGAGCTCAGGCCAGATGCAGGGAGGGACTGAGAAAGAGGCTACATAAATGGCCAGTCCTGAAGGGCCTGGGAGCCCCTCACTGGGAGATGGGACAGTCACAATGTGGTGGATGCGTGTAGCAGGTGGAATCAGCAGGTGAGATGGAACAACATGGACGGGCCTTAAAAACAGAGTTTAGCTGGGCACGGTGGCCCATGCCTGAGGCCGAGGCAGAAGAATCACTTGGGACCAGGAATTCAAGACCAGCGTGGGTATAGCGAGACCCCCATCTCTACAAAAAAAAAAAAAAATAGCCAGGCGTGGTGGTACACACCTGTAGTCCCAGCTACTCAGGAGTCTGAGCCGAGAGGATCACATGAGCCCAGGAGATTAAGGTTACAGTGAGCTATGATGACGTCACTGCACTCTAGCCCTAGTGACAGAGTGAGACTCTGTCTCAAAGTAAATAAATAAACAAAAAATTAAAAAAATAAATTATACTTAGAATGGTGCTCAGCACTTAGTAGGAGCTATATTAGCTTATGATTAAGATTACAGGGATTCATTAAGATGGCCAAAGTCAAAAAGATAGACAATAGGCCGGGCGCGGTGGCTCACGCTTGTAATCCTAGCTCTCTGGGAGGCCGAGGCGGGCAGATCGTTTGAGCTCAGGAGTTCGAGACCAGCCTGAGCAAGAGCGAGACCCTGTCTCTACCAAAAATAGAAAGAAATTAATTGGACAACTAAAAATATATATAGAAAATATTAGCCGGGCATGATGGCGCATGCCTGTAGTCCCAGCTACTCGGGAGGCTGAGGCAGTAGGATTGCTTGAGCCCAGGAGTCTGAGGTTGCTGTGAGCTAGGCTGACGCCACGGCACTCACTCTAGCCAGGGCAACAAAGTGAGACTCTGTCTCAAAAAAAAAAAAAAAAAAGATAGACAATAGCAAGTGGAGGACGTAGAAAATTTGGAACCCCCATACGTTGCTGTTGGGAATGGTCACCATATGACCCAGCAATTCCACTCCTAGGTACACACGCAAGAGAAATGAAAACATATGTCCTTACAAAAATTGTACAGGAATGTTCATAGCAGCATTATTCATGATAGCCAAAAATAAAAACAACTCAAATGCCCATCACTGATAAACGGATTAACAAAAATGTGGTATATCTAAACAATATAATATATTCAGCCATAAAAATGAAGTTCTGATCCATGATACAACATGGACAATGAACCTTGAAAACATTATGCTAAGTGGAGGAAGCCAGTCACAAAAGACCACATATTATAAAATTCCATTTATACGAAATGCCCACAATAGGCAATCCATAGACAGAAAGCACAGGACGGTTCGCAGGGCTTGGGGGAGGGGAGAAAATGGGGAAGAACTGCTAATGGATACAGGACTTCTTTCTGGAGTATGGAAAATGTTCTAGAACTAGGTGGTGATGATGATTGCATAACTCTTAATATACTAAAAACCACTAAATTGTACATATTAGAAGGATGGTATGTGAATTGTATCTCAATAAAAGCGTTATCAAGGACAGATTATGGGGGGGGGAAGGGTTTAGGATATAGGGGAAAAGAGGGGTGAGAAAGCCACGCTAAGGAGCTTCAACTTGATTCTGAAGGCCGTAAGAGACATCGGAGAATTTTAAACGGGACTCCCTGGAATAGTTCAGTATAGCGAAGTGGAGTAAGAACAGTGAAGTATGAAGCTTCTTGAAGGGCAGATTTAGGGGCAGAAAGACAAGTTAGGAGGTGGTTATAACCATTCAGCTGAGAAATGATGAGGCTCTGAGCTGAGCGAGTGACCTCAGTGCCACGACAAAAATGAGCCACGGCCCTTCTGTCGAGGGGGAGGCAGGGGCACGAAGCAGGCAAAGGGAGAGAGGATCATTCGGAAACCACAGGTGCCAAGGCGACAGAGAGACTTGGTGGCAGGTGTGGGCTGACTCCGGCTTAGCTGCTGCTACTGTCTCACTTCCCGGCTGGTAGCTTCTGTCCTCAAACAAACACAAAGACTACAAAATCGTGTACCGGGCAGAGTGTGTGTGTGAGGGGGAGAGGTGGGGGCAGAAGCAGGTGACACCTGGCCCTGGGGCCATTCCCTAGCAACCTGGAAGGGAAGGGCCCCCTGTAGAGTGGAGACACTGCCTTGGCACCTTCCTCATCAGGCAGAGGCAGGCAGATTGCCCTGGAAGTCAAGGAGCAAAAGGAGGGGAAGGCAGGGCCGGAGGGGGCCACGGGGTACAGGAGCCCTTCCTTTCGCCAAGCCTCCCTCAGCCCTCCGAGCTGGCTGCTACCATGAACTCTTTGCAAGGTCCTTATGACAGGGGTCCAGAAAAAACACCTTAGGGCCAGCATGGCAGCCTTAGCTAGGGCTGCCCCGTGCCCTGGGGCACGTCACTTCCCCTGCCTGAGCACAGGAGGAACGAGGCCCATCATTTGTTTTAGTGTATAAAGCGCCCTCACATTCCTTATCTCGTGAACGTGGCACAGCTCTTGAGATGGTATTATCATCATCATCTTCATCACTTGAGTGCAAGTGCCTAAAGGGCAAGGATTATATGGGGTTTTTTCTGTGATGTGTCCCAAATGTCCAGATCAATGACTGGCACAGAGCCGAGGCAGCGGAAAATATCTGTTGAATGAACATTGAATGAATCTCACTTATGTTTTGTTTTGTCTCCGTTTTAGAAAGAAACGGGCTATAAAGAGTGATGTGAAATGCCCAGTCACCCGGCCGGGAAGTAACAGAGCCACAGTGCGAACTCAGGTTGAGTCCCTCACTCCGTGCTACGCCACCACACTACTCCGGCAAGCCTCGTCTGAGGAGCGTCGTACGGGACCAGATGACCTCCTAGGTCCTTTTGAGCTTTGCTGCTCGTGAAAAGGGGGCTTAGAAAGATAGGGCACCATGCTTCCAGGCCTTGGTTTCTCAAAGCCAGACCTCAAGCCCCGCTCTTCCCAGGGCATCCATCTGGGGCTGCTTCACTCAGACCCAACGGTACAGGGAGCACAGAGTCTGCACGGTGACCACAGGGAAGGGGTGTGGACTTGAGGCCTGGGCTTTCCCCTTGCCTGCTGGCAAGCATTTATTTAGTCAACAAGCATTTCCTGGGCAGCGCCCATGCAGGGCCTGGGGCTGACCCAGGAAAGGAACCCAGGCAGGACAACTCACGCCTGGTTGCAGGACACCTGGTTGAAGCGGCAGGCAAAGATGAAGTTGCCCAGCAGGTCCTCCTCCAGGGGTGGCAAGGTGTCCGACAGTCTGGACAGAATGTTGATGTAGTGGAAGCGGTACCACTCCCTCACTGCGTCCACCCCTGACGAGTAGGTCTGGTAGAAGCAGTCGGATTTGTTCTGGTTGCACTGGACACAGAGACCAGAACATCAGAGGGGGCCAGTGGAGCAGGTAGGCAGCGGCCCAGGGCCCGAGTCCACGAATAAGTGGTCTGGGGTGCTGAGGACTGACAGGGATCGGGACCCAGGAGTGGGTTAGGACAGAAGTGGGACAGAAGCAAGAGCCCCAGGAGCATGGGACTAAGGACGCGGTAGGCCAGGGAGGAGACCAGGAGCTGCACGCATGTGCTTGCGGTTCGTTTATAGAGCCCCTGCAGGGGAGAGGAGCAAGAATTCTTCTCCCCATTTCACAGACGGGAAGATTGAGGGATCAAGAGGTTTTTGTCCCACCTGCAGAGCTGGGCTCAGCACTCCACCCTCACCGTCCAGGGCCTCCCTTCGCCTGCCCTCGGCTCCTCTCCCATTTCCCCTTCTCTCCCTTTTATTTTGTAGTTTTTAAAACATTTGTCTCCCTTTTTACTATCTCCTTATTCTCTATGTTAGGCTGTTAGCCCAGTTCTCGCTCGCACGGGAGGGTCCCAACTGAGCCCCACCCAGTAGGGACTGGAATTCAGAAACACGCATTTTCCACCACAGATTTGGTTTCCTACTGCTTAGACGCTTCCGCATTGGCCCCCAGCGAGGAGACCCCACAAGCTGGCGCGCCGAGAGGTGTTATTTTAATTATTTAGTTTATTTTTATTTACTTATTTACTTATATTTTTGCCCACCCGTCGCGTCGCTAGGCCGCGGACGCAAGGTCCGGAGAGGGGGCGGGGCCTTCGGGCGGGGCGGGGTCCGGAGAGGGGCGGGGCCTTCGGGCGGGCCGGGGTCCGGAGAGGGGGCGGGGCCCTCGAGTGGGGCGGGGTCCTGAGAGGGGGCGGGGCGGGCCTTACCAGCTGGAAGCCGATCGTCCAGTCCTTCCAGTCCACTTGGGGGTTGTTGTCTCGCACGCCGGAGGCCGCGCTACGTGCTCGGCGGGCCCCGTGCGGCGGGGGCGGGGCCCGCAGGCGCTGCAAGGGGTGCGGTAGAGTCTCCCGGAGGTCGCGCCGGCCGCGGGGACGGGCCGCGACGGTGTTGGAGGAGTTGTACTTGTACAGGTCAAAGAGCGTCTGCTCTGTGATGTGGTCCAGCTCCTCCAGCTCCCCTTTAATTTCGGCATACCTGTAAGGGACGATGGCGGAAGAGTCCGACTAGGGGCGGCCTCGCGCGAATCCCTGGCCTCAGTTTCCTCATCTATAGCCAGTGAGGTCCGTTCATCCCAGAAAAGCCTGGGGTCGCCTTGCTCTGGTGTCTCCAGGGCTATCTCGCGGGGCAGGAGGTGTAGACAGGTGTGTCCGCGGGGGAAACGTGGGCGACCGCGAGCCCCAGCATGACGGCATTTATTGCGGCCTGTTTATTGAGGGAGAGGCGGGAGGCGCCTGCCTGTGGGGCATTCTCCTCCCACTCGCCCGGACCCAGAAGGGAACGCGGAACTTGTCCGCCCTTTCCCAAGGCGGGGACCGGTGGGGAGCCGCGGTCTGGGCCCCCAACACTCCTACGGACTGCGATGTGCAGGTCTTCCTGCCCTGATCCTCTCAGGCGAGGGTGGTGGCCTTTGGGCTTGTCTGCCCCTGGACACCCAAGTCGAGGGTTCTCAGCTACACTTTTAGAACCTCCCAGGAAACTCTAAAAATACCAGATGCCGCAACCACCCCCGCTCCCTTCCCCCAAAGACTGCGTTTTAATGAGTTTCAGGTGTGGCCCACACACAATAAATTAAACACTGCAGTGTAATCCTCCCGTTCCTTCTTCTCAGTACAGGCCCTATTACCATCTACAACGTGAAAGTCCGGAGTAACAGGGTCTTAGAGATACAGTGTACCAAAATAAAACAAATATCTAGGCCTAATAAATTGAACACGCTTGCATGGTACAAAACCAATATACAAAAATTAATTGTATTTCTATATAGTAGCAACAAAAAATTGCAATATTATACTACAAAACAACACCATATTAAATAACATAAACGACATCAAATACCTAAGAATAAATCTAGCAAACGATGCGCAAGACCTCTACACTGAAAATTGTGTTGAAATCCCTGGAGAAAGAAATCGAAGACCAAAATAAATGGAGAGACATACATGTTCATGGATCAGAAAGTCAATATAGTTGACGTCTCCCAAATTGATCTTTAGATTCAGAACAATCCCTATCAAAATTTCACGAGATGTTTTTTAAGAAATTGACAGGTTGATTATAAGATTTATTGGAAATGCAAAGGATCTAGGATAGCCAAAAAAAATTTTTGGAAAAGAAGAGCCAACTTGGAGGATTTATTCCATCTGACTTTAATATTTACTATAAAGTCACAGTAATCAAAACAGTGTGGTTCTTAGTGAGAATAGACAATAGATCAATGGAACAGTCCAGAAATAAACTCATACATCTATGGTCAACTGACTTGACCACAGCACCAATTCAATTCAGTGGGAAAAAAAATTTTTAAGTGTAACAGATTGTCCTGGAACAACTAGATACTGTATGGGGAAAAAAAAGATCCTCAATCTCTACCTTATTCTATACACAAAAATTAATTCAAGATGGATCATAAACCTAAACGTAAAATTCAGAACCATAAAGACTCTCGAAGATGGAAGATACCTTCCTGAACTTGGGGTAGGCAAAATTTTCTTGTATAAGAAATATCCAATGAACAATCCCTACAACAACCCTATTCAGTAGGCACTCTTAGGAACAGACCTACATTTTTAAAAGATCTCTCCACCCCTTCTACTGGAGTAAAATGGTACAACCACTTTGGAAAACAATCTGGGAGTTCCTTAAAAGGTTAAAAATAGAGTTACCATATATAACCCATTAATTCAGCTCCTAAGAGAACTGAAAACATGTACCCACACACACAAAAAATTGCACACACATGTTCATAGCAGTATTATTTATAATAGCCAAAAACTAGTAACAACTCAAATGTCCATCAGTTGATGAAAGTATAAATAAAATGTGATGTGTCCATACACTGGAATATTATTTGGCAATAAAAAGAAATTAGGTATCGATCCACACACCAACATGGATGAACATCGAAAACATTATGCTAAATGAAAGAAGCCACTCACAGAAGACCACATATATTAATAGTATGATTCTATTTACATGAAATGTCCATAATAGGGAAAACTATAGAGACAGGAAGTAGATTAGTGATTGCTAAAGGCTATGTGCTTTCTTTTCTGGCTGATGAAAATGTTCTACAATTGATTGTGGAGACAATTGCACAACTCTGTGAATATACTAAAAACCATTGAATTGTATACGTTAAGTGAGTAAATTGTATAGTG